AACAACAACAACAACAAAAAATGAAACAGAATAACAAAACCAAACGAAAGAATGTGGCCGCAGCTAAGGAGATTTTCACATGTTGTTTAGCTCCAGTAAAGTCTGATCCAGCATCTGGTGCATGCTAAGGTTTTCTTCCTTGGCATGAGCCACTTTCTCTTCTAAGTCGTCAATGCTTTTCTCCAGCTTAGTGACTGACCTCTCTGCAAACTCAGCCCGAGTCTCAGCCTCCTTCAGCTTGTCAGAAAGAACCTTGATCTCCTCCTCATATTTATCTTCCTTCTGCGAGTACTTATCCTCTGCAGCCATTAATGCTTTCAAGGTCTGATCCATTATTCTTAATTGTTCTTCCAGCTGTCGAACTTGGCCTTCTGAGAGCTCGGCCCTCTCCTCTGCACGTTCCAGGTCACTCTCGATGATGACCAGCTTGCGGGCCACCTCTTCATACTTGCGGTCGGCATCTTCAGCAATGTGCTTGGCCTCTTTCAGTTGGATCTCCTGAATTTCCATCTTTTCTTCATCCTTCTGGGCTCGGCTTTCAATGACTTTCATGCCTCTCTTGCTCTCATCTGCTGCCTTCTCAGCCTCCTCCAGCTTCTGCAAAGCTGTGGCCAGCCGCTCCTGAGCACGATCCAGCTCCTCCTCAACCAGTTGGATGCGTCTGTTCAGAGAAGCTACATCAGCTTCAGCGGTCTCCCGCAGCTTCCTCTCCTGGTCCAGCTCGCGCTGCAGGCTGCCCGCGCGCTCCTCCGCCGCGTCCGCCTGCTCCTGCAGGCTGCGGATCTTCCTGCGCACCGCCTCCAGCGAGCTGCTCCCCGCCATGGCGAGGCGGCGCGGGGACGCCGGCTGCTGCGCTCCCTCGCCCGGGACCCTCGGCGACGGCCCCACCTCAGCTTAATGCGCTGGTCCTAGTGCTTGGTGGGTGGAGGTGGGGTCAGGGCCTTTGGGGATGTTCGGGTCAGGAGAACGGCCTTTGTGATGGGATTAGTAGTCCTTCAGGGAAGGGCCTGAGAGAGCTTGCTCCCCCTGTCAAGTGAGGGTACTATGAAAAGATGCTTTCTGTAAACCCAGAAAAGAGGTCTCTAGACACCTGTTCTGCAGTTCTTCATTATGTACTTCCAGGCTGCAAAATTGTGAGAAATAAATGCTTATTGTTTAAATTACTCAGTTCCTGATATTGTCATAGCAGTGTGAATAAAACAGATAATTCAAAACACATTTCTTTTTCATATTTAATACTCTTCTCCCAATGCTGGGTATCCTTTTATTTTTTTCTTCCAGTTTTCCCCTAGGTTACTTCTGTGACCCAAGATAATTGATTTATGCCCATTTTTCTTTCTTCCCTTTCATTGCTTTCTTCCATCTCCTTTTCTTTCTTTTCCTTCTATTTGAACCAAATTAATTTCATTCCGTTCTATTCCATGATAAATTGCCAGCGGGGCAGCATCCTCTTAATCCTATTAAAAAACATCACACGCGAAACCAAAATTTGGTTACTAAGTGGAAATGAGTGGCTGATGTCTTCTGAGTTTCTTACGCTATGCGGGTAGCTGAAACTGCCTTCACATATACTTTAGATTTTATAAAGCCTCATTTTATCGTGTTAAATGCAAAGGCTTCCAGTCATTTTACAGGAGTGTACAAGGGAGAATTTCAGACAAGGAACAGGGGCGGTGCTGTCTGCACTGTGGGGTGGCAGGGAACTGGCCATGCAGCTGACATCTTGATTAATAAAGTATACTTTGTCTTCATGCTCCCTCCCCACAGCCGCTGCGTGTTACCCAATATTAATTAGACTTTGGGCAATAGCAATCTGACATCTTTCCCTTTAAGGAAAAAGAATAAACTATTATTATTTTATTTACTATTTTATGTAGTTAGTACAGGGTCTACAGGGTCTCACTGCATAGATCAGATTCATAGTGATCCTCCTGTTTTCAGCCTCCTAACTGCTGGGATTACAGGTAGAAAAAGAATAAGTTATATAAGCAGTTCTGAAACCGTGCTTGTCTTCCTTAAAAGCCAAACTAAACCAAACCAAAACCAAAACCAAAAAATATAAAAAAAAAAAGCAGCAATTTTTGTGTTCCTAGGGCCCTTGCAAATACTAGCCCAAATTATGTGCTAGAAGGACTTTTACTTCTTTTTTGTCCCAAGTTATATAAACTTCAGATCAGGGATGATTTCTTTTCTTCCAGGTCACACAAATTTGTATTGCAATTTAGGAAAGTTTAAAACCAATTATGCATCTGAGGCCAGCCTAGGCTCAAACAGAAATCTTGTCTCAAAAAAATGCTTGGTGGTCTAAGCACATGCCTGGCAAGGGCAAAGACTTGGGTTTGATCCCAGGTATAGCATGCCATGTCAGCTACCCCAGACATGCCGTGCAGGTCCCCAAAACTGGGCATGGTGATGCATGCCTGCAATCCCAGCACTAAGGAGATTGAGACAGGAGGATCACTATGAGTATGAGCTGTGTAGTGAGACCCTGTACCAAATAAGTAAATAAATAAAAAAAATTAAAACCACTATGAATTTGAGCCTGCTACATATTTTCCTTTTTATTTTTAGTAGAGTTTCCTTGTTTCTAAACAACTTGCTTCTCCCCTCCTTTCCTTCCCCTTCCCCTTTGCTTAAGTCTTGGTTTTAATAAATCTTTTCCTGTGTACTGTCTCAGATTATATCATCTTTTCTATCCAGATCATCTTTGTAATTTCCCTCCCTTCTGGAAACTTCCATCCTGCTCCTCCTACAGGAACTGCTTAAATCTAAGGTGGCAGTACAACTGTTGTTCTGGGAGCCCTAGGGCTCTTTGGAGTTGCATCTGCTGTTCCTGAATATCCCATCTTTGTCTTTTTTTTTTTTTTTGTTTCTTCTCTCATTTTGCTAAAATAGATCAACAACCTTCCTAGAAGTGATATAGTGAACTTCCTAAAGATGATACAAAACTAAGATCGGAGTGCCTCAAAATATCTTAATTTTGCTCACACAGATAGTGCAGCTGGGAATAGAATTGCTAACAAGGCAGTTTTCAACTGATTTTTTCCCAGTCCCATCTTGACCAGAAGAAAATGCTTTCTGTTTATGCTACTGGCATCTTTCAAAATGTCTGAGGTGTCCATGTCAAACAGTGGTCCTTTGAGCTAATCGTGCAGTGGATGGTAACCAGCCATCAGACTAAAAGGATGGCATCCTCCCTAGAAACTGCAGTTAGTGTGAACATCTCAGCACTTTTTCCAGGTAACATACTGACATCTATGATGAAAGGCTTTCCCTATCTTTGCCCTTTCTCTGTTAAATTTAGAGTCTTCTTCATTCTTTTCTGGAGTGATTCTTCTGACTTTTGTTGCTATTTCCTGATACATAGTTTTTCTAGTCTTTGAAGTGGAAAAACTAGCTCTGTAAGCATGTGGGCACATCTATTTATCTGTTCCTTGGGCTACAGATTCTACTCTTTCAATTTTATAGTCTTTGTTGGTGTTTCCAAAGTGGATGACTCATGTCCATCTGAATAGGGGAATTTAAAAAAGACTCTAAAGGTGTGATTCTGTAAAAAGGGAAAGAAAGGCAGAGGAAACAGATAAATTGTTGTGGTGCAACCCTACCACAATAGTTTGAGTGTTCTTTTCCCTCGCTTTCGAAATTATAGTTATATTTTGTACTCAGACTTCTTGGTAGTGAGAAATCAGGTGTCAGTGTGGCTTGCGCTTTTGTACCTGACCTGACTTTATTTTCTGGAAGATTTTCAGGTGGCCTTTTTATGCTTGCTGTTCAGAAATTTCAATAACCATAGTTTTGGGGAAGGTGTTTTAAAATTGCTTGCCCTGGCATTTAGGAGATCCCCTCAGTCTGAAGATTTATGAACTCTTCGTGTCAATATTTTTATCATTTGCTTGGTAATTTTGCTTTCTTTACTATCTTTGACTTCTGTTACAATTTGATTTGTAGGATATAACTCTTGCTGAATTGGTCTTGTCTCAATTTTTTAAGTATTTATTTATTTAGGTACTTGGGAGTGAACCCAGGGTGTAGCAGTGAGCTACACCTTCCAGCCCTCCTCCTCCTTCCTCTTCCTCTTCCTCTTCCTCTTCCTCCTCTTCTTCCTCCTCCTCCTCCTCTTCTTCTTCTTCTTCTTCTTCTTCTTCTTCTTCTTCTTCTTCTTCTTCTTCTTCTTCTTCTTCTTCTTCTTCTTCTTCTTCTTCTTCTTCTTC